TTCAACATGGATGCAAATGCTTTAACACGCAGCCGTTTTGTTAGCTCAGCACCAGATATTGAAAGAAATAAATTCTTTTAAAAGAACAGAAAAGTATGTATGTAATATTCTCTGTTTGTTCGTGCCACCAAGAAATTTGATTCTTTTCCTTCATAGAATTCCTCGACATTTTATAAATGAGCGTCTTTCTAGTATAAGAATAGTAGCTCTGGCGAGTACAGTTGCGAAGCTAGTAATCTCAAAGCCTATATAAGTTTTTCAACATGCGAAATCCATTGAGGATATCAGTTTAATTGAGTTTTGACTTTCGCCACAGTAAAATGTGTTTTTTACCTTTTATAAGTTGTAACTTAGAAAGAACACACTTTGTCTATCAGAAACAGATTTGAGGGAAGAAAACAGTTTGGCCATAAGATTCACAAAAGGTTTCGCGTATAACTCCAGAATCTTTTCGTTGGTTTCCCGTAAAAAAACCACAGGGCCCATACAAAAAATCTTAAAAGTTTTATTTTTTACCATTCAGTAACCGAAAGCAACGTTATCACTCCAGTATTATTCATTAAAATTTATTTCAAAATTTTTATGATATGCCTTCCAGGATATGATCATTTAGCTCTCGAAGCTGAAGACCTACTCAAACGTGAAGCGGATTTACAAGGAGTTTCTGAAAATCTCAGGTACACTGTAATCTTGAAAATTATTTATAGAAAATCGCTGCTAATTTTCAGAAAGTCCATATATGAAATCGCGGACGATTTTCTATTTTATTGAAAACCAAATTCCCAAGAATCTAGAAAAATCCCCCTTGATTTTCAGGATTCTTGGGAATTATCTAAAGAAAATCGATGTGGATTTTCTATAAATAATTCCCACGAGGAACTATGGTCAAGAAGGAGAAGAATTCGAAGTTATTCTAAGTGTGAAAATATTCGCACTTATATTTACGCAGGGGTGCAAAACGAAACGGTGATTCAAGAATGCTGCCAATTATTTATAGCAAATCGACTCGATTTTGAAGAATCTTGAAAATCAACATTTTCTATAAAGTTGGAAAATCGGTGAGAATTTTCTATAGATTTGAAAATCCTCAGGGATTTTATAGCCGCTTTTCTATAAAATTGAAAATAATTTAAGATTACAGTATAGTGTATTGTGTTGAACGACATTTTTAGGGTATTACTCAGATTGTTTCATCTTGAAGAGTATATCCTTGATTAGTTTTCAATAAGTAATAATGAAGTTGTTATGTTTTTGTTGTGGAACGATGCCATGATAAACTGAGATTTTTTTCAGTTCGATAAGCGTGAAAAAATGCTTAGTTCATTAGAAGAATTTCTAGAGATCTCCTGGCAATACCAGTATTGGTTACCTTATACAGTTCAACCACATATTGTTGGCTATTAAATGACAAAGACGATACATTTCAACTTTTTCTGTTTGGCCTCTATTTCATGGGAAAACCGACGAGAAACCTTTCATGAACCTAATCGCCAAACCTTTTTCTTCTATCAGAAATGTCTTTAATAAACAAAACTGTATTCTATATTACAAAAATATTGTAGAACTAAGCGAAAGGAAAGGAATCTTTTTTCACATAGTAGCATATACTAATGCCACCATCACGCAGAAATATTTCTATGCACCAAAGGGTTCGTCGAAGAAAAAGTATATTTTGTTCATAAAGTCTCCTTTTGTCCTGTTGCGCGTGCGGCGTAGAAAAGAAAAGAAAATATCATTACAAGAGAAGATGAATAACAAAAGCATACTGAGTTTTCTTTCCTTTTTTAAGTATAATCAGTTTCATGTCAGTTTAAGTCTGAGCAGTCTGAAAGTGCAATTGATGCATGGAGCGAAGCCTTAATGGAGTTATATATTGTTACCCAAAAAGTTCGAGATTGAGCTAACTAAGACTTTGCTCTTGGTGATGTTGTATCAGCTGCCCATGTAACGAGTGTATGACCACAATACGGACACTTGAAACATTACTGACAACGATCGTTCAACATAAAACAAAAGCCTCTCTCACTCGCAAAAAACCATTTGTGAGCAGAAAAAGCTGACTACATCCTCTCGCATAATAGTAGACAGTGGTCTTTTATTTCAGATAGCAGTCAGTATTAATAGAAACTGTTTTTGAAAAACGGGTGGAAATAAAAAAATCAGAGGACTTGTGACCTTCAGACAAAAGCTTAATAACTTGTTACCACATTATTCTTCAAAAGAGGCAAGCGAAAGAAATTATCACTACAGAAGATCACCCCTTGACAAAATAGAAGACCATCTGATCTTCTATTCCGGGAGAGGATTATGCACCCGTTATTTTGCCTCCGCTTTTCCATTTGATTTCGATCTCAAGATTCGCAACTTTGAGGTCTCAAGAAAGATCTCGTGGTCAAAACTGGGGTTCATACAAACCTACTCTGAATTGAGAAAGGCTTTGTAGGAAACGAGTAGCCCGGAAGGCTTTTGTTCGCGCTATGAGAAACCAATTCTTAGTTCTTTGATTAAAGTAGTATCATACGAGACCTGACTACAAGATCTTTTTTGGAACTTCATAGGTGAGGGTTTCGAAAGTTGAAGCCAAATGGAAGCCGTAAGCAAAAAGCGGTTTCATAGTGAGCTTTTTCCTTCCAGCAGAAGTCTTTTATTCAGGAGAGAATTTTTGGTACGATTAGTCGACACTTCTGATTTTGAGATTTCGTTAATCGTTTGTCTATTTAACTTTTGCTTTCGTACTTATCATTTTTATAAAAAGAAAAAGCTTTGATATATCAGAGTGCCAGCTAGTGATATTCATCAGTTGCGTGAAGCACGAACGTCGTACAAATGGCAGGTTAACAACAGCTATTGCGTTGATTTTTTTTAAAATAAGAATTCTTCCAATTCTTCATTTTTCATCGTTCAGGCGTGGTATCAAGATTACCAGATACACCGGCATTACCGCGAACCGCCATTATGTCGAAATAGACCATAGGAATTTTTCGCCCACCTATATTAAAGATCGAAAAATCTTCATATGGTCTATGTCAACATCCGAGTATGCACTATGTCGACATAGACCATAGGTGGCAGATTTTTCGTAGTACACATTGGGTATTGATAACTATACTACTTTTCGAACTCGCTCTCACACTGCCCTCACTCCCTCACCTCCCACTACACACTGTCAGAAATACCTAATATGTGCTATGAAAAATTTGCCACCTACGGTCTATGTCGACATAGTGCATGAGTGGATGTCTATATAGACCATTCGAAAATTTTTCGATCTTTAATATAGCTGGGAGAAAAATTCCTATGGTCTATTTCGACATAATGGTGGTTAGCGGTAATGTCGTGTCACGGATTACTGGGTATCTCATGATCGCTTTCTGGTGACTTTTGGCATCCTCTTTTGATAAGGATTTCAATTTCGTTGGATACAACATACGGAAGATAGCAACATCATTACCTGTAATATTCTTGATAGGAAGGCAACAAGTCCAAATACAAGCAGTAATATACAATTGTGTTTTATTCCATACCAGAGCTTTTTGTTATCCGATTCTTGAAACAGCTAATGGTAACCAAAAAGAGGAACGATTGTTTGTAGATTTCATTATATCATTACGACAAGAAAAATTTTACATACATTTATTGTTTCACCAAATGTGATACACACTAATGGAATTATAGCACCATTGATCAAAGCCGCTAAACTGCCCATCACTATATAATACCATTCAGGACTGTTTAATTTTAATAGTTTAACAAACAGAAACTCGTTCTGTCCACTATTATTTGATTCCTATACGTGTAATATGAAAGATATAATGAAACAAATTCATAGATGTCCAATTATCGTTATTCGGATAATACAGCGCCCAGAAATGTATTACTGTACATGTTGTTGAATTAGCATCTAAGATGGAGGTTATCAGACGCTCTGTAATAGTACCAGCAGGATTTACGAACATACGAAAACTAAGAATTTAAGAAACTAAGGAATCGTTCAGGAGAAATCTCGATTTTTCATGCAAAAGTTGTGACGTTGTGTAATAAAATGCATTTTCTGCCTTTCCAAAAGGATCTGGGGAAAAACATTTTCCGGTTGAATAACTCAACTTTCGAGGCTGATTCGGAATATGATATTTGTATTGTATAAAAGATGAGTTTTGATGGAGAATTACAGGTAGAATTCCGATTTTTTTCCTGGGTTTTCAGGAAAAATCGTTAAAAACGTTTCCGAAATGATTTTTTAGTTCAACATCCATCTTTACCTCTCTTTCTTTTGAATGATCAAAGGTGAACTGGAAAATAAAAGGACTAAAAAAACGAAACTAAGCTAGGCAACTGTTATGGAAATGTTGATTCATCACGCCCTTCTAAAAAAAGACTGCCCACATCTGTTATGGGGACTGCTATTGACGTAAATTTTCCGTCCACCGCGCCATGGACGGAACAATTGCGTCCATGGGCGCCCGTGGACGATCCTCTCAAAATTAGGTGCAACGTTTAAATTGGATGAAATAGAAGAACGGAAGAATGATAATGGTACAGATATCTATTTCGATCCATGGGCGCCCTTGGACATACAAGTCCATAACAGTCCCTGCTATTTGAAAATACTGAATCGGACGTCCGAGTCCATAACAGTTGCCTAGCTTAATTTAGAAGATAAGCACAAATATAAGCATCCAAAAGTGAGCAAAATTGCGAAAAAAGCGACAGTGGATTATTTTTCTATTATTATAGTGCGTTTTCGATTTATTTTATTTTCTCTATATAAAACATTAAAATTTTTATGGCACTTCAGTTTGGTAGAGCAAACATTTTCCTTTGAAACACGCGTGGATGCACTGACTTTCTCGAAAAACCTCGATCATTTGACGTACAAAAACGCCTCTGGATGGATTCTTTTTAATCAAAAACAACAACTTACATCCAGGTGCATCTGAGGCCGAACGCACCTAGACATTTTTTTATATATCGATATGAGAATGGACGTGTGCGGGCATTCATTTCTCTGTTAAAATTTTCCACTGGATAGCATCAAGGCATGCTAACATTAAGAAAATGTTTTCTTATGTAATCGGCTATGCACTCTATAAAATGTAATTTAAAGGATTTCTACGATTAAAAATCAAAATCCATCTCATTGTGATTGCGCGTAAGTAACGCAGAAAACGCATTTTATAAAACAAAGACTTACAGTTGTAACGCGTTCAAGTTTATCACTTTCCATATTTCCTGATATATAATGCTGATATCTGCTTGCTTTATCTTGTTCGTCGACAGTCGACTGATTCAGAACACCGGTTAATGTATTTTCATCATCAATAACAACACTTGATAAAGTTTGTGTCTGAACCATCTGATAATAGTGACCAAGTTTGTTTAACATTAATTGCTCATGATTACCATATTCTATAATACCACCATTAGCAATAATATATATACAATCAGCATTGCGTATTGTTGATAAACGATGCGCTATGGTTATTGTTGTGCGTCCTTCTCAAGCAAACTCAAGACCAATTTAAATGATTAACGTCACTTACACTGTCTTCTTCTTACCTTTACTAGCTTTATCCAGTGCTTGTTGTACAATTACTTCGTTTAAATTATCCAGCGCCGAGGTTGCCTCATCTAACAGTAATATTTTTGGATTGTCGATGAGTGCTCGAGCTATAGCAACTGTTATTAAACAAAAACGTATTTTTCTCTAACTTATAATTCAAATTATAATATTTTGAAAGTATTTACTTCGTTGCTTTTCACCTCCGCTTAAGCATACTCCACGTTCCCCAACCATCGTGTCGTATTTCTGAATCAACAAGCAAAGTTAGAACATAAAAGAATGGTAATTTTGAGACACGAAATTCACATACCTTTGGTAATTTCATAATGAAATCATGCGCATTTGCCTGGTTAGCTGTTTCATATATCTCACTCATCGATATGTTTTTTCTATTACTACCATAAAGAATATTTTCGTAGATTGTTGTGTCAAACAATATCTAAAAATAAATTAGTTTTCCAACCAAAAAGATGAGAAAAAATGAACTCCCATAATACAAGGTTCCTAAGAGATATGCTACAAAAGGGCGATCGCATAAGATTGATAATCGACCCATTTCAACTTTTGCCTAGAAACGGTTCCAACTTTCAACGGTTTCAACTTTTGCAGTAGAAAAGTGTTTTTATGAATTTTAAGTAACTTTGTGTACTTTTGGTATCTAAAATCTGAGTTATTCCTCGTCAATAGAGCGCCAATAGCTCACCCATCAGCGATCAGCTGTGGGTTACGTAAAAGGTGTTTTTCTTATGTTTCTTTCACATAGATGACGAAATAAATATATCACTGGATAGCTGCTAAAATTCTCCACAGACCGTATGTAAAGTAACAGTTAACCACAGTGCTTTGACAGCAATGGAGCACTTAGAAAAATTCTACATACACAATATAGTAGACGGTCCGAGCTTGTGTGTTTACTTTTTTTTTCAAATAAGAAATATATTTTTTCTTATATTTTTTCTTTAGCACAGCTACTCCTGACCAAATATAAGTGATTTGGTTATTTGGTTATTTATGACTTACAAGTCATTTGTTTTTTCTATTCTGCCATATGTGTCACCAATTCTCTCATCTGCACTTGCATATCAAATCCAATTATTATATCGATTACAGTGTAAAGCTGCACATATTGTCTCAGGGGCTATACAGGGCTGTGATCGAACTAAAATGCTTGCTGTCCTTGGATGGAGAAGTATTATTGATATTTTTGAATATCATAAAAGAGTATTATTGCAGAAGATTATATATGGTCATGCGCCAATATTCCTGTCCAAAAAAATCCATTTTTCTAATAATCCTCAATATGATCTGCGATCTAATAATGTTAAAATTACTTTTTAAGTAACTCATCTATACGTTCAGCTAATATTATGAAAACTTTTTTTCCATCATCCGTACGGATTTGGAATACCCTACCTCATGAACTAACCAAACACAAACATTTTAACATTTTTTATTTTTACTTTTTTAGTCTTTTGTTTGTTTCATTTTCTTATTGCTCACTTTGATGGATTTTCTTTTTAACTATATGAAAACTTTATCTGTATCTATATAATGGTTTCTCCGATTTAGTGCAGATTGGTGAAATACTTTATTTAATAAATAGTTTATACCGATATATTTTTCCATTGTATATCATTCTGAAGCTCATAAAATTTGCTACAAACTGAGATATTCAGAATTTCAAGATCTTCTAAGCCAGTGTACAGAAAATGGACCAGAAATAAACCGATTAAAGAGAAATGTGACATTCTTTCAGTTTTTACTATTTCTTACACTAGTGTATGTTTTGACTCATATCATTTTAAAGCTCATTAAATTTTCTACAAACTGAGTTATGCATGATATCTTGATCGGCGATTCCAGTCTCTGTGGTTCTAGGCGTGGTATTTGCCGGAAGTCCCAAGACTGGTATTAGGCAACCTCAGACAATCTCTAAAGTAAATGGATACATAGGTTGTCGGCCATACTGAATCTCGCGGAAATGTTTCTTTTCAGGAAAAGATGAGTAAACCTATTGAAACTAAGTTTTGAGGAAAATACACTAATTTAGGTGTAACTGTATAAAAGTAAAGTACTCAGAAAATATTCTGTTTTGCTTGATTTACATATTGACAGAGTCAGAGACGTAAAAGCGTGTATTTTCTTATTATTAGGATTTCTAGAGATTTTCTAGAAATCAGTCGTAAGAGAATATTAGTTTAGAGTTGTTTTGATGCCCTGAGTATTCAATCTACTGATAATGTTCTGAAGGTTCCGAGCGAGTGGGTTAGGTTTTGAGGGAGATTGGAGTATTTTACTTTTGTATCATTATTTAATGGCAGGCTTTTAGAAATATAGAACTTTGCATAATTTTAGCAGCTCATTATATTTTATTAATACAACATAATAAGCTGCCAAAATTATGCAAAGTTCTACGTTACTTTTGTATAATTATAGCTAAATTGGTGGATTACCTCAAAACTCCGTTTCATTAAGTTCATCGACCTTTGCTGAAAAGGCACATTTCCACGAGATTCAGCATGGCCGACAACCTATCTACCATTTACTATAGAGATAGGCGTGTTGCATGAAAATGTAGGTCTAGGCTAACTTCTTGCTGTATTGATCAAATTTAATGCTGTATGGTACTTAACGGTTTGAAACTATGCTCTTCCTTTTGGCTCATTTAGTTTCTTTTTAAAATATCTTCAAGTAAGGTTTCTAGAAAACTGTGGTTTTTGACATACAGGGGCCGAATAAAATGACTTTTAAAAAAAAATGAGCGTCAAAACTAAATTTTCAATGGGATATTCGTATTCAGCGTTGTAATGCGAACGTTAAGAAAAAATTGAGTCTCCAACTCAAAATCTGAATCTGTCAATTAATTATTAAATTTTAAATTCTTTTTGAAATTCAAATATTTCAGAGCAGGTAGGTGATGGGGATCTCGACTAAACGCCATTCGACAGAGAATTCAGAACTGAATATACATACATAGGAGGTTGCGAGTCTCCGAGTTGAAAGTTAGTATGATAAAGTTTTCTCACTCTTCCGCATTCGCTGAGCCAAATTTTAAAAACCGAATAAAATCTCCAAGCTAGATACTTAAATCACACGCCATTAGATAGAGCACATCAAGATACATATGTAACGATGTTACAGAAAGAATGGCGTGGTTTTTAATTTCAGTTTTTCTCCTCTTCCTCTGCATCACTCGTATTACCAAAAGATTCCCCATTCATTTCTCTACAAAATGGTGCATATAAGATGATCCCAAGGCTTGAGACGGTATCCTAATTGGGCAAACATCGAAATGTCTTAAAAATTCACCACAAAACACAACATTTCGTTCCCATCGGTCTGTTGTGGTAAAAATGACTGTTAATAACTGGCAGCTATTACTGAACAAAATGCGCTAGTTTCAACATCTCTATTATTCAGAAAAGTTATATCAAGCCTTTCGCCCGTCAGTCGACTAGACCAAACATTTGTCTTCTAAGTGATGCAAGAATGAGCCTGACTGGTTCCGTTTTGGCTGAGCAATGTTCATTTTACAGATAGCCCCAAAATGATAGTTGAAAATGCTGAAAAAATGGTCATAAAGCTTTTACAAAAAACATTATTGAAAACACAGAAATAACGATCGAAAATCCGCATTACAACTAATCGGTTGTGAATTTTAAGGGCTACATTTTGGCCTACTTGCTCTGGATACAACACATACGTTCAACTGCTTACTAACGAAATATACTTTTTAGAGCTCAATATTTTCAGTTTTTAGGATATTTGGACTTTTGTTCAATTCAGACAGGTCTCAAACCTTAGGATCATTTTCTATACACCATTTGTGGAGAAGTGAATGGAGAATCTTTCGGTAAAAGCATCAGCTCTGCGAGTGCAAAGAAAACGAAGAAAAACTGAAAATAAAAACTATGTCATTCTTTCTGTATCACTCGTTAGTCTCTTCGTTGCCGGACGAGCTTGAGCATTATAACGAATTTTCCAATACTAGCAGTTTTTGCATGGAAAATTGTTGCAGAAACCCAGCTTTATTACTATTTCATTAAGAAAACGCTTTCTATGACAAAAGTGTGAAAGGTAACGTAGTTCGAAACGTCGAGATGCATACTAGAAGCAGTAATGTGAACGAATAGCTTTTAAAAGTAGTAGTTAACGTTTTCGCATCCGAAAACCCGCTGATAAAATTAAAAACTTCGTTCTAATGTTTAAGTTGATCCGGCTGCGAAACGACTAACTGTACATATGTATCTCAATGTGCTATCTAATGGCGGGTGATTTAAGTGTCTAGCATGGAGGTTTTATTCTATTTTTAAAATTTAGGTCAGCGAATGTGGAAGAGTTTTGGGAAAACTTTATCATGCTAACTTTCAACTCGGAGATTCGCAACCTCTTACGTATATTCAGTTCTGAATTCTGTTTCGAACGGCGTTTAGCCGAAATCACAATCACCTACCTGCTCTGGAATACTTGAATTAAGTTGGGATTAGATAAGGGAAGCCGTCAAAACTATGAACAAATCAATCGGATCAAACGAATCATTCAGATCATTTGTAGAAGCACCCCTCTGTGATGTTTGTATAAGAGAGAAAATATATAAAATCTATCTTTTCTTATCCATTTTATTCATTTTTTCCAATAGATTACTTTTTATTTACTCTTATATATAACACATCAAAGAACACATTAACTGTGCTAATTAATTATAGGTAATATATATTCTCTTTGGCCTCATCACTGGTTAATATGGTCTTAAACAAATAGTACGAACGATTTTTCGCCACCGTTGTCATAGTGTAGTACATCGAAAAGATTCCACTAAGGCAACTGTAATTCTTTTACTAGAGGACCTTCGTGTTGAGATTTCACGCTATTATACAGTACAGTACCACTTAGTTCACCTTCCAACTTCAAAGAAAGCCATCTGTTTGATCTTTCTTCCTTCTTCGCGCTTATAGAAGTGAACATAGAAGTCAAGAAAACGAGAAAAGAACAACTTTTCTATTTTAATCTAGATAGTCATTTATTATGTCTAAAAGAAGCACTGCTCATCCTATATTCTAACAACTTCGCGAATTAAAATTAAATTAACTACAGAGGACCCTTTTCTACTTTTTATACTAGTCTGAAGTACACAAATTGTACTATATACTGATGTATTTTTCAGATAAAGATTCCTCTGAGTTTTTGAGATATGTGGCTCTCAATGTTGGTGATTAACGTTTAACAAATCATACTTCTCTATATGTACCAGCTAGATAAACCCTTTTTGACTATCGTGACTTTCCGGCTTTCTCTTCGGGTCATGATAATCAGAGATAATGTGTTATTGAAACTTTACTTATTCAGTGAATAATCACATAAAATGAAATAAAGTAGAAATGAAAAATATCAAAATAAGATTAAATCAAAATTAGATTTTGCTTTGAGATTTTTATATACTCGGAATCAGTATAATCGATTGCGTGGTACAGCATGGTTCGTATACGTATAGGTTATTGCTCTTTAAACAACAAAATAAGGAAAGGCAAAATTTTATATTTTTATTGAAATTTATTCTGTATTCAAAAGAAGCAGTGCTGACTGTGAATTTATTCTATATTAATCTAAACATTTATTAGAGATCAATCGTCTGGGCATTATAGATCTCGATTCCCAATATAGTGAATACAAAGAGCGAACAGGAGAGAATGATAAAAAAGATATAAAAGTTAGACAAAAAAGAACGGAATGGCTATTGACACGCCCAGACGTGTCAACAAGGAGCTACTGCCACTCCCTGTCCTAGACAAAAATTTTTTGCTCAAACTGATAGGATTCTTATAAGAATCTTATAAGATTTTCATAAGAGGCTCGTAAGAAAAACATAAGAAGGACCAAAAATTCTTATGTTATTAATATCTACTAGAAGACGGCCTGCACGATTTAGTTCCCGAGGATTTAGTTCCCTTTAATTAAAAATACGGAAAAAAGCTACTTTTAAAAAAGTTGAGGATTTAGTTCCCTTTTTTTTAGTTCCCTATATCAATTAACTAATTAAGGAAAAGAGAATGTATAACTTTGTTTTCTATTCTGCCATTCAATTAAGAAACATAATGTAAATGTAACTAAATTATTAACTAAATGTAAGCTAAATTAATTAACTATGTAAGTAGTATAAATGTAATTGAACAATGTATGTAGTATATATCAGAAAATAAGTATATAAATCGATGGATAATCTATAGCTTTATCACACTATCACTCGAAATTTTAAAAGCATAATCATATCGAAAATAGAATATGTACAATCAACTCATGGTAAAACTCATGTATGTTATGAAGGTTTTCGTTATTATTGTCACCGTAAAAATGATGATGATTCAAAGTATTGAAAATGTGTTAAAAAATCTTGTCGTGTTGGCTTAACAATAAAACCAGATGGTACAATTAAGAAACATGCTGATCATGACCACTTGCCAAATGAAGCTGACAAAGAAGTGTTGATTATACGCCAAAATTTAAAACGCAAAGTGGTTGAATCATCGTTACCAATTGATGCTATCGTCGATCAAACATATGCTGGTCTCCAGAATTCAACTGTATGCCAAGATGTTGTAATTCAGTTACCATCTATTGCAACAATGAGAAATAATCTTCAAAAGGAACGTCGCAAAACAAGACCATCACTTCCCAAGAATATTACCGAGTTACCACATCCAGTTCCAATTAACTACCAAAAGAGTTTAAATGGCGAACAATTTGTACTTTATGATGGTTTAATAGATGGTTCACGATGTATTATATTTTCGACGCCAACTGATATGTTATACTTATCTCAAAGTGAAATGTGGTACTGTGACGGGACATTCTACGTTTGCCCATCAATATTTTATCAGATTTATTCTATCCATGAGTATAATGATGATGGTATTATGGCACCTTACGTATATTGTTCATTACCTGGCAAATCCGAAACATTATATACTGGTATGTTTGAAAAAATATTTCAACAGATGAGCCAAATGAATTTACCAATACGATTACGTCGTGTCACAATTGATTTTGAATTAGCTGTTGCGAAAGTATTCCACAAATATTATCCATATGTTGAAGTGAAATATTGTTTACTCCATTTCGGACAAAATTTATTTAGAAAATTTCAGGATTTAGGTACGTGTTAAAGAATCTCATAGTAAATACGATATATCACCCAAACGTTTCTTTCTTTAGGCTTACAGGCAGCGTATAAAGATGGTTCAGATCATTTGCTGTTGTGGCATTATTACGACTTTCGGACATGATATTTGGTTTTAATTATTTGATACAAAACAAACCAAACTATCCACAGCTGACATGTTTTGTACAGTATTTTCATCAAACATATGGCGCATTTAGTACTTTTGCACCGCCCACGTACAATCATTTTATGAATTTCTCTCCACGCACAACCAATCATGTGGATGGTCGTCATTTGAAATGGAAAAAACGTAGTGCAGCAGCTCACCCGAATATTTATTGTACAATTGATTTACTGCGTCAAGAACAATCACTTGGCGCATTTAATGCGCTTCGAGATCATATGGGTGCACCACAGCCAAAACGACGTCGTGATCAACAAATAGCCGAGAATTCTCTTCAAAAATTATGGCAACGATATTCGGAAGCAAAAACAGATTTGGTTTCATTCTTAAATGCAGCAGGACTTAGATATTTTAAGTATTTAGAACAATAGTGCTCGGATTTTTTAACACATTTTCAATACAATGAATCATCATCATTTTTATTTATTTGCATTTATACTACATACATAGTTTAGTTGATAATTGAGTCACATTTACATTATGTTTCTTAATTGAATGGCAGAATAGAAAACAAAGTTATACATTCTCTTTTCCTTAGAGCTGCCATGGCTGAGTGGTTACGTTGTTCGGCACGTATCCACAAGGTACTGTGTTCAAACCTCAGTGCCACCAGTCATGGAATGACCCTGGGCAAGTCATTGACGGCTCTTTGCCTCGGATCACCCATCCGATAGCATGGTGACTACGTTGTGACATACACCAGCCCTCGTGGCTAGTATGCGGTTAGACACTGTATATGGGGAGCTCAAGCGATTGAGCGCAAGAACTCTGAGTCAGGCCGGCCTTCTGTCCAGAGCTACAGCTGGTATCAGCTGTAGGGAAGATATCGGGCTATCGAATCTGCCTCCGGGCAGCACCCTATACCGAAAGGTAGCCGAAAGGCGGGGTATTCTTCCTTCCTTCCTTCCTCTTTTCCTTAATTAGTTAATTGATATAGGGAACTAAAAAAAGGGAACTAAATCCTCAACTTTTTTAAAAGTAGCTTTTTTCCGTATTTTTAATTAAAGGGAACTAAATCCTCGGGAACTAAATCATGTAAGCCCTAGACGACATCTTATGAGTCGGCTTTTATGATTTCTGTTATGATTAAGTTACTTCTACTTGCTCTCAAATCTTTTGGGCTAGTAAGTGGTCGTAACGGTCATTTATTCTGATGACTTGTGAGTCGTATTCACAGAACTGTTATTTTTAAAAATATCAGACTTTTACTAGGATGTATTAACTAGTTAATCGGGCAATATTTTAAGCGTAACTTACATTCCTATCTAAAATGACTTGATATAATAACATAAACAGAGTAAGCACTTATAGCCTAAGGGTTAAGATCGGGCAGCCGAATGGAAGATTACGAATTCAATCCTCGTTAACGTAATAGGAGTACGTAATAGGATACTGTCTCACAAGCATCGCTAACGCAGGCTGGACTTAGGATGAGCTTACAAGCAAAAAGATCACTGTTCAACTGAGAAAATTCCATTCTCAACCTTACAAAATTAATATCGGTGTTTCGATCATTGTGTGATGGAATAAGAGGAGAGAAGAAGTCATCCGTCGTCGCCAGAAAGCTACGAAATGTTTTGTGCTTTACACAGGAGCGAAGTCCTGAATCAAGTCTATCCCACAACTTAATGGTGGCTAGTATAAATGTGTTCTCATAAACATCTTCCTTGCGTATTTCAACAGGTAACTTATTTTGGACAACGGAACGGGTAGTGCAACAGTGTAAATTTTGATTATCAGGAATTAAAGACAAGAAAAGATGGGGCAAGATTTCTCATAATTTTATGAGAAAAATGTAGTCTGTACCTATCGAACAATTCGTGTATCGGAAGCCAACCTAAGTCAGCCAAAACCTTATCTTTAGACGTACCTTTCATCGCTTCAGTTATCGCAGCGTGATATTGCAATGTACTCAACCGTGCAGAATTCGTCTCAGTCGTTCCTGAGTAGATGGATGTATTTCATTCGCATATGGTTTTCAAGGTCATTATTGCTATCACAGACGGAATTTTCTCGATCGGTGGTTTAGCTCAACATGTTGAAGCATTAGAGGAAGCTAGAGCAGCAGCTACCGAA